TGGGAGCTTTCACAGTTGACTTTTTTTTTATTGTAGCTGACTTTGGGATTCGATCCAGAACTGTTGAGGTGTGGGAGCTTCCGATGCCTGTGCTGTTTTTGCATTAGTATAATTGTGTGGGAAGTACAATCATACTCTATGCCCAGGGAAGGTGAAAAACTTGCCAACCCGAAAAAAATCCTAGACCGAACCGGGAAACCATCCCAGCCACCTCCAGCATGGTCTTGCTTTTTAGCTACGTCTTTACTGACTGAACGAAAGGAGGCCTGGGATGCTATTGACATATATAAGGAATAACAGAGTTTTTGAGCTTCAGAAAAACAAACAAATATCATATAGAGCTTTAACAGAAATATGAACATTAAAAAAATGCTACAGTACGGCTTCGACGAGTCTTGAATTCAGGTCGTTGGCGTGACTGTCTAGTGTACTGACCTCTCAGCTATATCTTCTTGTTGAAGATAAGAGGAAAAAGGACTAACATTTTTTTCGGTTGTCATGGCTATACTTTTCAAGGACGAAATTAAAGCAGATCGTGTGTCACCGAGCAAGAACCGGTAATTGCCCGACAACATATGAAAATGGTTATGTGGTATGACATCTTATTTTACTATTCTTGTGGTATAAAGCCTTGTTTTGATATTATTAGGCTACAAAAATATTTTGAAAATTATTAAAAAAAATACCAAAATAACAAAACGAGATCTTCAGTTGCTAGTGCATTACAGACTTATTCGATAGGACCTTTCAAATAAAAAATCATAGTTTTCTGGTACCAAACCAAATCTTAACGGATGTTTCCAAAGCACGACCATATTATTGAAGTAAGACTACGAGTTTTATGAAGATGCTTACAGCTACCTTCTATCTTATTGAACTTTCAAATTGGAGCAAATAAATAAGTACTCCATCAATCTGAAAAACTTTGATGAATATCGCAACATTTCACTCAAAATCGTAGAAAGTTGGTTTATTTACTGAGTGAGTACAGCTTTCTTCTATTTTCTTTAAAAATCTGCTCAAATAAGTTTAAAAAAACGACTTTAAATTTATTCAGCCTTTAATAATACTCATAGACTTAAATTACATGAAAAATTCCTCACTTATTAAGTAATCCCACTTTCTACTCAATTTTGGGTTGATCTCATCGGTCGTGAGCTCCGGATGTTTTATTGGGAGTGGGAAGATAAGCGACTTCTGCCTGTATTGGTGAATTATTTGCCGTTAAATTTCGTGATCATTTACTATTCTTTCATACAAAATGCCCATGCATTGAAATTTTACGAACGTATTTTGACAGGTTTGGACCTGTTTACTACGTTTGGAAGGTGCTGGACAAAAATGCCTTACCCAATTGATGTTCTCCGCAAGTATCAATCTTTGACGAGGATTTTGCTAATTAACAGTATGAGCAGTTCTTATAGCACAAACTTGTCATACAAATTGCCCATAGTTTATTGACGGCGTCTAAAGATGGGACGATCATCATCATCTTATATTATAAAAAAAGGGATGGGACCAACATCCACAGACAAACTAAAACAAACCGTACAGGTACGCTCTTTTATAACCTTACCATCGACTAGTCCCTCTCTTTTCTCTCTCTTTCGTCATAGCAAGCAAGCACGTAGTTGATTGATTGCGGCCAAAATGTTTGATCAGTTGTCAATAGTTTACTAATGATAAATTACTTTTATCTTTATACCCAACGAATCTTACACTCCAGATCATAAGTTTAAGGACACCCCCAAAAAAACATGGCAAATTTGTTATGTTCATATCTCTGTCATTTTTTTTTTTTTTTGTTTATTAATTTATTTGATAAGGCTCAACCGAATTAACTTTACAGAGCCGAGGATTCTTGGTCACTATACAATACATCTTAAAACTATAGTCAAAAGGTACAACACAATAAACACTTTATCTTCCGCTATCCAAAAAGCCTTCTCCATCAGGACTGGAGCCGCTTCCAGTGGTTTCATTGTATGGCAAATTGTTGTACGCCAACGAGGGTCAGAGCGCGTCCATTGCAGCAATGGACGCAAAACGTGGTCAGCACTCACACACTCATCACGAAACGGTTGCTTTCCAAAGTCGACGACGCATCGACCGAAAGAACTGCTGATGAAGAACAAATATCTCTGTCATGTTACGTCCAATTTTCGTTCTCTTTAGATCATTGGAACTTTCCTCGTAGGCAAATTGTTCAATATAATTTTAAAATTTTGTGTGCGAAGTTCACCCAAAGTTACCATATTTTTCAAAATTTACTCTGAAGAATCGTGACTAATTTTTTAAGAATTGGGTTGGCCAAATTTTGAAATAAAAGTAGTAGTAGACCATTTATGATATACCATTCATACCATTCAAATAACCTTTGGAGATCAATAATTAAACATAAAATGAGAGATCATTGAACAAAACATATTTGCATGGTTTTTTTGGGGTGTACATCAAATTTGAATCAAATGCTTTAAAAATAGTTGAAATCTATCCATAAATGTCAAAGTTATAAGCGTTTAAAAACTAACATTATTTCGTCACATTTTTTTCAATTTGCGCCCCTGTATAGTGCACAAAGACGTTGGTCTACGTCAAAAAATGATGAGTTTTTTTTTTCCTTTGGTTTGTTTTTTCCGTCGATCTTGTTTTCCGTGCTGAGCACCAATGCTACCGACGTGCCAGGAAGGCAGCTCCCACACCTGGACCCTACCTATCGACCCATCAACTCATGAACCGGGGACCAACGCTTTTACTTCCCATCTGAAGGAAGGCGTGATCAGAGATGTTATGCCTCAGAACATCCTGGCGGCGCCGACTGGGATTGAACCCAGGCCTGCTGGGGTGAGAGGTAATCACGCTTACCACTACACCACCGGCGCCGTTGAGTGATGAATTTGTATAAGTTATTATAATAGCTTAATTATTTAATAGTTAGTCATTAGTACAACATTGTTGACGTAATATTTTTGTTATTTTACCTCTTATGTCAGGCTCGTCAATACCATATTCAGGTTGCCAGTTATGCTATTATTAAACCTGAATTTCGTAGAGTATCTGGTGAACGCACATTGAAAATGTAGATAGATTTCTATTTCCAATTGAACTTTTTTAAATGTGTCAATGTCAACATTTCCAAGAGGCGTAATTGCATTTGTAAAAAATCTTTTTAGCCGTAGATTTCTCACTCCTCCAATTAACAATGCTAGCTGGTAGAGGAAGCATTTATATACCTGTTGGTGTTAATAATTTTTATATTTGAGATTTTATTTGCGAGAAATCGACGGCTAAAGCCATTGTTTACAAAAGCAAAAACGCCCCTTAGAAATCTTGACACTGATTTGGCCGCAAAAATAAAGAAAATTGCAAACCTTATCAAACGGATGCTCATAGAGACAAGCAGGTCGATCAAGCTCGTAGTTGTTGGAAGGTATGTTTTACAGTTAGTCCGGGAACTTCCAGCAAGTGCAAGCTGCGTCACGGTGTCTCTGAAAGAAAATCTTAATAAAAAAAATCAGTAATGTGGAAACACCCAGCAAACGAAAGCTCATATTACGTTCAGACCACAGAGTTATATCATGTTGTAAAATAATTGCAACACTGAAACCACCATCAAGATAGCGCTTTAACATGTTACAACTCTGTATTCTAGCGGCGCCGGTGGTGTAGTGGTAAGCGTAATTACCTCTCACCCCAGCAGGCCTGGGTTCAATCCCAGTCGGCGCCGCTGGGATGTTCTGAGGCATAACATCTAATAATAAGATAAGGAAAGTAAGCTCACCCCCTTCATATAAAGGCTTGTATCGAAATGTTCTATCTAGAACAATTCTTAAGATCGGTACTTGATTAGCATGTGTATATGAAAACAAAATACTGCAGAATGATGTGTCATTTGCGCATAGACAATTAGAATGTGCTAATAGGGTGTATCAGAATGTGTATGCACGATTAAAAAAAAAACGATAAAGTAACTCTGTTTACAGCAAATTCGGTTTATATTTCGTATTCATGTTATTTTACAGTTTAACGTAGAAAATCCGAGATCCAATCAGTCGTTAGCCAAAAGCGGAATTTTGATCACACGCTACTCATTATCTTCAGCCTAGATGCCTTTCCAACAATTTTGGATACTTTTTCCCGGTCTTTCGCAAACCTTGTAATGGAATCCGCTGCCTTTACATGTTTCCGCAAATTTGCTTTGGTCAGGACCCAAAAAGTTTCGATTGGCCTGGCCTGGGGACAGTTTGGTGGATTCATCTCCTTGGGTACGAATTGGACCTTGTTGGCTTTATACCAGGATACCGTGTCCTTGGAGTAACAGACGCTAGTTTAAACACTCACACACGTAAACATCGGTTGTTATTGGCCATCACGAACGGTGTTGTACGGATCACCAGGAAGAGTTTTGTAATCAAATTTAACGTATGATTTATTGTCCAAAATCACGCACACCGATTTTCCGCACAGCAATTGGTCGTATAACTTCCGAGCCCTCGGTTTGACGGATGCGACTTGTTTTAAACAGCGCTTTGGCTTCTTCTGCTTGTTATACGTATTTAGACCCATTCTTGCCTTCGAGTCAGGTCTCGAACCGAAACACTTTTCATGCAAGTGAAAGTTAGCACGATTTTCCGATTCAGATTTCGGTCAACAGGGTTCGGTTTATGTCCAGATTTTTGCTTGTCCTGGAAAATTACTTCATCACCATACTTCCAAGTCGCGTTTTGAACGGCTCCGATGCTTACACCTTCCAACTTCGCTAATTGACTCAGAGAAATGTTGGGGATAGTACACCATTTGTGCACGATCTGTTTGCACCTTTCCAGAGAAATGCTTCGCATTGTCACGGAAATGTAAAGAACCGACACTTGCGATACACGAAACTGTTGGTCGAAATGTAAAAAATGATTCAGCTTGATCATCAGAAGCTTACAATTGAAAGCGTTGTTGAGAGGATTCATATAACAAAGCAGTTAATCTCCATGTTATTATTTTTACAGATCATTCAGGATGCCATAGTCCGCCGAAAGCTAGGAGCGGCCGAAAACAACGACGCAGAAAGTGATGGCTTTCGGAAGCCGCAGATATTCGTCGATCAGCTACTCGACCACCAGGATGGCAAACATTTTTCCGAGATCGAAATTATTCACAACGTTTATACGATGATCGTTGCGGTGAGTTTCCCGCGATCAATATCTCACATTGCAGATTTTATCAAACCTGTGACTTCCATTCCAACAGGGAAGCGACACATCCGGCAACGAAATGGGCTACATTACTCTTATGTTGGCCTTACATCCGGAGCTGCAGGACAAAGTGTACCGTGAAATAGTGGAAGTATTCCCAACCGAGACCAAATTCACCTTGGACAACCTTCGTCGACTAGAGTACATGGAAATGTTCATCAAGGAGTGCCTACGGTTGCTACCGATTGGACCGCACATTATGCGGCAGTCAACGGCTGACATCGAGCTCGATGGGGTCATTGTGCCGGAGGGTAACATTCTGGTTGTTAGCATCTACAACATACACCGAAGGAAGGACATTTGGGGACCGGATGCGGACAAGTTCAATCCGGAGAACTTTTCGCCGGAGCGAAGTGAAGGACGACACCCGTTTGCGTTCATACCGTTCAGCGGAGGCAACCGGAACTGTATCGGATCTCGTTACGCAATGTACAGCATGAAGATTATCTTGGTGCATCTTTTGAAGAACTTTAAATTCCTGACACGTCAGCGATTCGAAGATATCCGGTTTCAGTTTGAAGCATTGTTGAAAATGTCGCACGAACCGGAAATCTTGCTGGAACGACGGCATCATTTGACTGTACCAAAGGAATGATTTAATGTTCTTGGTGAAACGTCCTTTTTTAATAAGAAATGCAGGCTTAGGTTTTAGTTTTTTCCCAATCAGTTTATTTATTAAGGCTCAATTGTCCAAAAATAACTCCACAGAGCGGGGATCGAGTAAAGAATTTTATAATTATAACAAAGTATTTATGAGAAACATAGCTTATGAGTTCTTTTTACTTTTCCTGGAAGACGACCTGAGGTTTGCTTTGGAGCAGTTTACTTACTTATGCATCCTGCACAAAATGTCCATCCTGGGCGTCTGTTCGCTTTTGCCTTGACCAGAGCACGGTGAACTCTATAGAGGTGAGGTATTCCGGTAAATTACATTTATATGGTGACGTTATTCCTTTCGTTTTCGAAAACAAATGTTAATTTGAACGAAGCCGATATTTTTAAATTAATCTTTTAATTACTGAACAAAATGAATGTTTTGTATGTGTCTGCAACGTATTTACACTGTATAATTCGCGATATTTCACTTCAAACTACTGAAAGATAGCAATGACTTCTTTAGATGACATTCGAACTTGATGTTATTAGTAAATTATCTAGTTTATGTACATCGTGGACCTTTATTTCCTTGTTAAGGCTCCGCTGCCATGTGCCCCTGGGTCTGCCTCTACTTACGTTCTCGAATTTCTGTTGATATAGGTTTTTGATGACATCGACGATGGAACTCAGCATGATAGATCCAGTTGTGAGGCCACCAGACATGAATTATAAACCGTATGGTTGATGATGACCTGCAGCGTTTGAGTGTTCTTCGCTGATGCACACCACGTCCCGCTGGCAAGAATTTTGATACGTTGACTTATCTGGTTAGATCTCCATACATTGCGCTGGTTAGATCTCCATACAACCTCGCAAAAGCAGCCCTGATTCGTGCACCAATGTCACTTTAAGGGGGTAGTCCACTCTGGAAATTCCAAAAAATCTTTTTTTTTTTGGCTTAAAAAATACTTTGGAATGTCTACTTTGACACAGACTTGACCGCAAGTCCGCAAATGACATCATTCCAAAGTTATAGGCCGATTAGTGGACTCGTGTCCAGACGCTCAAAGCGCGCTCGGAGTACCCGCCCGTTACCGGCGAAACGGCGTGTCTTAGTAGTTCCAACTGCTGCCGCGATTATCTATAAACGATGTTTTCAAAATTGGCGGGCGCTGTATTTTAGAAACGGCTCATTCGATTTAAACGGCGATTGAATTTTCGAGTTAAGTACCTTTTTTTCTAGACTGATATGTAGCCGATTTTCAAAGGATTCAAAAATGAATTTTTGGTGCAAGCTTTTATCTCCAATTTTAGGGTACAAAAACGGACTGTTTTTTCAAAACGTCACCAAATTTTTATTTTTCAACCAAATCAAAAACGGCTACGTACAAGACTGGGTCATTTATCAGAGAATAACCACAAAAAAAATCGTTCTTCCAGCTCCAGTGGTGTGACCGCCAGACGTCCCGCCCAGCGACGACTCAAACGGGAGGTCTCCTGGGGAACCTGGTGCAGCGGCTACAGGAGACATGCAATCGCCCAAAAAAAAAATCTCAATTAAAGAGGAGATTTCAATTGACAAAACCATGCATTCTTTTTTTTGAATTGATCGTTATTTACCCTTAAAAAAATTCGTGAAAATGACCTATTTTTCATGCCGCCAGAGTGGAATACACCCTTAAAGGTCCCCCCAAACTGGCGCGTTTTTTACGCCGCGGCAGCGGAAGCGAATAAATCGCGTTAACCGCGGTAGCGAAGTTCGCGTGGGTGCCCACCCCGGAGCGGCAGTTTTTTCGCAGCGTCATTGCGATCGTGAGCAATGGATTTGTCGTTAGATTAAGAGGAGGCGCTTTTGCTAGTTTCTTTTAATGACTTCAACGCATTCAAGATCGCCCATTGCTATGTCTGACACCATCTTGAAATCCAAGATGGCAGCGTCCGGTTATAGTAAAACTGCCAAATACAGTCCAATACTCTTCAATATGGGTATATTCGGAATCGGGATGACGTATGAAGGCCAGAAATCGATGTCCGACGTCAGCTTGAAACCCAAAATTTTCTAAGGTATTACGTTTCCATAGAACATTTTTGAATATCTTCGGAATCTGTTATCCAGCTCCAGAGATGTGAATTGACTATGATCCGAAAATCAATTATTATTTCCAAAAATTAAGTTTCTCGGCATCCACTTACCTGAACTGTACGCAACAACCACAGAATGAAAGGTTTTAGCACAGACAAACAGACATAACACTCGTAAGTTGTTCATCGAACAAGCATTTAACGGTCAATTTCAAAGTATCGTAGTTGGTAGCACCGCCACCTGTGGCGCGCATAGTCAATTCCCTTGCGTTTGACGTTTACACACTACCGCCATCTGTTCAGCGTACTACCCACCACAGTGTACTCAACAGATGGCGGTAATGTTTTAGCGACGATGTTTTACAGTGAGAAATATTCAATGTGTTATGTCTGTTTGTCTGTGGTTTTAGCGTTACCACAATTCTGAAAGTACACCCAACCGGTGGATGTAAGATTCGCTTACAATTATGTGGGATTCATCATCAGAGGATGTTAGTGGAGACCGCATGAACCGAGGAAGCGATATACCTAGCTGCGGTCCGATGTAAGAAAATTGGAGACCGAAAAATGTGGAGTGTATTAGTGAGTGAAATTAATTATGTCGAAAAAAATAGCAAAAAGGTTGCCGACTGGACTCGAACCACGGACGTTGCGACTATCAGACCTGTGCTTTCTCCACTGCTCTCTCTATGCTTCTGAATATGGTCAGCCTAAAAGCAAACATGAAGCGCTCATTTTCTCGCATGCTCGACTTCGTATGCTTTTTCTGCTGGAGAGATTCGAGTTAAGTGTGTGCGTCGTTCTACAATGTTCTACAATGTGCGTCGTTCTACAAGCTTACTGGTATCGTCGAAAGCGTAGATTGAACACGAAATAAAAAAAGACAAAAAACCATTACATCGCCTGCATGGTCAATTTCTAACATTCGTTGCGATGTTCATGAACAGAGGATGATAGGAAACGGAACTAACATTAATTGTAATAGATTTTTGGTTTGCGTGTACCCATATTGAAGGGTATTTGATTGTATTTCCCAGTTTTCCTATATCCGGAAGCCACCATCTTGGGTTTCAAGATGGCGTTGGACATCTACTTCCGGTCTCTATATTACACTCCAATTCAGGAAAGGTAATCGACTGTATTCCCATTTTTCTGAATGCCATGATCTATGATTTCAAGATAGCGTCAGACATCGATTTTCGGTCTCGAGGTGACGATTCCGATAATGCCCACATTGAAGGGTATTTGACTGCATTCTCCTATTTTTATTTAATTGGAAGCTGCCATCTTGGATTTAAAGGTGGTGTCAGACATCGATTTCCGGTCTCTAAACGTCATTTTTGAAGGGTGTTTGACAGTATTTCAAATGATAGACTCACAACAGCTGCAAATTTTATGCAATCGAGTGTTAATTTTTGTTAAAAATGATATACTCATAAAATTGATGACACGGGTCGTTCAATCCCACAGAGAAAACAACTAAATTTGTTTATGCCAATTTACGCTACCCGTTCATCAACATGAGTTCATAGTTCAATCGCCTATTGTCAGTCGAATGCGATTTCACATTGCACAAATGCACCTCAAAATTCATCTGAAGCGTGTAAGCTGTTTCAAGTGGTACGTTCTGCTTGCAATTATGGTAATCAAGTGGAAGATAATTGTCATTCACCCTTAAACAGCTACATCCAGCAGTTGTATCATAGTCTCTGTAAACATCACAACTAATCGATCCTTGAATCAACTGGGTGGAATTTGACAAAGCGCGCGCTGCCACAACGCACACTGGACACAGCAAATTACAGATAATCATAGAGGAGAAAACTGGTCGGTTACGTTTCGAACTGGGGATTCCTTCCACCAGTTTCAGTGCACTCAAACAGTATTAATAAGTTGGTGACTGTACATTCCATTATGGACTGTGATTATATGGAAATCTGATTTGCTCGGAAGAGGGCGTTGTCTGATTTTATCTTTAAAACGTTAATTTATTCTAGGGAATAGAACTTCAAAACATTTTCCTATAATTAATTTATTTCAACATTACATCGTGAAAACATCATATATGATAACACAATTTTGACACGTGTAATCTGTGTTCCTAAAGGGGTTTCAGCAGCTCTGTCATTGTCGGGATCAGATAAGATCAGAGATGGTTTTAATAGTTACCCATTAAAACCTAATCCGATAACGGTGAGACAATAAAACCATCATGCCTCTGACACGTTCCTCTTAGATTACGAAGTTCCGTCGATCAAGAGTTTCCTGAAGTTTCAAAATTGGGGAAGTTGTAGAAATGGTACTGATACTGTTGGCTATTTTCCTGGTGCTAAGTGCGGTGCAATACTGTCGATTCCGACGAAGTATATCATTTGCCAAGAATATACCATCCGTGGAACCCCCTGTTTCTGGGGAAAAGTGATGAAGAATTGTTCACCAATTTCTCCCAGGCGTTGAACCATCCGGCCAAACTGTTTCAGATATGGTTGGGAGTCGTTCCACTGATTTGCACCAACGATCCGGGTGTTGCGCAAACAATCGTAACCCAGTGCCTCGAGAAGTCATTTATGTACAGTTTCTTCAAACTTGATCATGGGCTTTTCTCCGCTCCTTGTGAGTTTGTGGTTGAAAAAAAGTATATCTGGTATTTAACACAGGTCCCGTTCACATACCATATCTAGAGGAATCAACGGAAATCGTTGAACTCCACGTTCAACCAACGAATCCTGAATGGGTTCCTTCCAGTGTTCGATCAATGCGCCCCGAATTTGGTGGAGAAACTCCAGTCCTGTCCAAAGGGAGAGCCGATCAAGATCATTGACTACACGTTGCGATGCACGCTGGAGATGGTTTGTGGAACGACGTTCGGAGTGGATATCAACAACAATCCGGGAGTAGATATGGGGTATGGTTTTGCGATTTCCTGAGTCAAAAACGGAAATTTTATTGGAGGTGTCCTTAATTTTATAGGATTTTCCACCTGACATCGAAGCAAACTCTGAAAATGCATTTGTTCTGGGAAATAATTTATCGAGTGACTGGTGACTATCGGCAGGACGTTGAGCTAAGGAAAGTAAATGATGAATATCAATATTAACAGCAAAAAAAAATCTACGTGGCTCGGAGTTGCCGGAGTCTGAGAAGAAGTAATCAATTATTTTTAAAAATATATATACTGGCCTATTGTGTTCAGAAAGCCCATAGACTATCAAGCAGAATGCTTTAGAAACACTTTTTAACAGTTATGTGATCAACAAAAAGAACACCTTTAAGAGCTCGACAAGGGTACCTGGGTACCCACAAATTTAAAAACTTGCTACTACGGCCAATGTTGACCGATTTTGAATCTCTTGGCACCATTCCATTCAGAATGTTATCCTGTTTCTGCACATTGCCAACAATGTACGTCCGGAATCATCTGGTTCCCGGAAATCCAAATTCCTGGAACATTATTCCGAGAACCAGACGATTTTGGATGGACATTGATGGCAATGTCCATAAAAAGGATAAGCTTCTGATTCCAATGGAGCCAAAAGATTCAAAATCGGTCAAAATTGGCCGTAGTAGCAAGCATTTCAATTTTGTGGGTACCCGGGTACCCTTTTCGAGCTCTTAAAGGGTAAAACATTTCAGGAACCCCCCCCCCCTTTGAAGTCCCTTGCTGCAATATGAAATCTTTCTTCATAAAAAATTGTCTCTACAGTTCTAAGATATCACTGAATTCTGGTTTCCTGTCGTGAAAATAACTGTATAATTTCTTAACTTGAAATCTGAAGAGTTACCCGGGAACCCTGTCGATCACATAACGGTTAATACGGGGCATCTCAATTCCTGAATAGTTAGGAAAGCCACGGTAAAATTCAGCAGCTTTAGGAAATCCTGGTAATACTTGAGTTTTGAATAGTTCAGAATTGCCTAAAGCTGAGGAAAATTCCTAAAATTTTTACTCCATCGTTAGATTAAAGTGGGCTGAGTACTAAACTAGCATTGTGATTTGTCAAATTTTAGGAATAAAAATCGGGATTGCTATGAAAAACTGTATCGGGCGTTTTGTCTCGGGTGCATTTTGGACTGTTTCCCCTACCGAGAATTGATTGGAAGGATTTTAAGCTAAAATGTTCTGATTGCGAGATATTCGCGATCAATTACGATGTTTTGCTTGAAATGAGTGCAAATTGTGCTCCCCGTTTTGTGTGTGCTTTATTTTTAGCGTTCTGAACAAAGTCCTACCTCTAACAAACCTTGAAATTACAGACCTTACTGCTGATATCCATTCTATTTTGTATGTAGCTTGTTGAAACAATTATCTGAATAGTAATAAAAATAATAAAAAACTTGTACAGATCTTAGCAACAGCGGGATTGCCCGGTCTACAGCATTAGTACCTTATTATTTGAGACACTTTTTAACACTGCAACAATCCATTTGAGGGATACCAGATAAAACAACAAACGGCCCTTTTTAGGACCACCATTTTGAAAACAATTAGTTAAAATTAAATATTTTTGAAAAATTAAAATAATTAAGCCCAAAAATGCACCGACCACTCGCGGTGCTACGTCAAGTTTCCGTTCGTGCCCCTAGGCAAAGACTCTTCTATTTTATTTTATTTCATAACAGTCGGAGTTGGTGTCGGAGTCAGTACTATTTCTTCGAATCCGACTTAATTGACATAAAATTGGTTCAAAAAAGTCTCCCTATTGTCTCCTCTTCCGCTTAGGTTGTATCTATTTTAGTACTGAACGTATTTTAGAAAAATTGATGCCAAATAAAAGGTCTATGCCAAAAGATCAACATCTCAGTTCATGTGGCTCCTTGTTCTTAAAAATATAAGCGGAATGAAGAGATTTACTAAATATCGCTCAAAGTTCAGACAGACTCAGTCAATCAAACTTCGTGGGCTCCGTGGTCGTGCTGTTTGTGGAGTCACCCGTCGCCCAAGCGTGTTATTCTGGTTCGGTTTCCAGCCGTTGGAACTTTTCGTAGCCCAGAAATTTCCTTACTGGTCTACTAAGTGTTGTGTGTTGTCTGTTATCTTAGTGTTAAATGTTCAATGGATTATTTCTAGACTAATGTTTGAAAAGGGCATGACTCCAAAATGTAAATAAACCATATTTTGCCACATATAGAGAGAACAGTCCACAAACTACTCAATAAACACGAAAAAGTAGAAGAAAATATCACTAATACCACAAGCCAACCGTACTGATTCTGTAGTATCTAGTCACGCTCGATTCATTTGAAATGCATCCGATTGATATTTTACGAATAAACAACGAACAAATAAAAAAGATCAAAAAATCTCCGGCCGTAGTTTCACTCTCACAAAATTTCAAGAGCAAATTTTCATTACGTCGAATGTAACAAAGGTAAACAAAGTCGAGCAATCAGTGTCAATCGATGCTCCTGCTATTACACTATATACTGTCCGAATATAGGATCACATCCCATTTTTAAATTTATTTACCAATTGCTTTTTGACGTAATCACCTTCCGATCAAAATAGTTTTCGATGTTACTTAAGTCACCCGATTTCTACGGAGATGCCGTTTGCCTTAAGTAACAGCACTGAGAAACCCGTGAAAAGTGTACTTTCGTCGTTTCGCTTTCTCATTATTAAAGTGAATAAATCGAACTGTTTGTTGCTAAGATGATTTCGGTGGTCCTAAAATGATGAATGGGCTGCACGTAAGGAGACGTAATTGATAATTCTCCCGAATATCCTGGTAAATACACTTTGACTTAAGTAACAATAGGGGCCACCAAACGACGTATAATAACTTTTGACTCAAAAACCAGTATTTCTTAGCATGAAAGCTAGCGATTTGCCTTTGTATGATTAAAACCCGGCTAAATATGTTAAACATAGCTATCACTATGAGATTATATGTGTTTAATTGGAAATAGGAATAACTTTTCGGTCATCAAAACAAAACTTTATTTTTCTCGGATCGGTGCGAATGTTACTTACGACATAATGAAAATTTGCTCTTACCGTGATCGTAAACTCTAATTGTACTTCATTCCTTCATTTAACGTCGGTCTCTGTTCCGCAATCTAGTGCCAATCACCGACGAACATCGATTGCCATCCATTGACGGCAACCGAATGTGCAGGAAGACAGCTTCCACATGGGTCGGGACCAACGGCTTTACTTCCCTTCCGAAGGTAGAGGTAACCAAAGATTTTTATGCCTCAGAAAAATCCCACCGACCTCGGCTGGGATTGAACCCAGACCCCTTGGGGCGAAAAAGCAGTCAGGCTTACCACTACACCACTGGTACCGGCTAAACTCTTATTGTATTGCTAATTAATTCCTTGCTTGATTTTCTCGGCCTTTTATTTATTTATTTATTTATTTATTTATTTATTTATATATTTATTTATTTATTTATTTAGGGTTAACCTTAAAAACTTTCTGGATCGCATTCTCTAAAAACGACTATCGATCCTTAAACCTTATGGATGACATTTGAATAAACGACAGACTATGACTAACTGCCATTGCACGAGTACATCACGCTGCAAATAATCATAGACTTTCCTCTAGTCTCAGTGCATCTCAACAGTAACGATGGTGACTGTTAATTCCGACCAAGACTGTGATTAAATGGAAATCAGATTTGCTCGGATAAAGTCAGGCGTGTACAGATTGAGTCTTGTAAAAGTAAACTGTTCCAGTGAAAAACCACTGGAACTCATCATGCATTGTATCGGAAATTTGACACGTGCAAGTTACGTAGGTCGTGATCTATTGAATGGTGTGAAAATTAGCAACCTCACCCAGGGAACAGGGGTGGGGGAACGCAATTTTTCATCTCCATCAACTGATGAGATATTGTTTCAAACGAACCTCATGTACTGTCAATTGTGTCACATTCACTTTCAATAAGGTTTTGCACCGTCGGGGTTAACCTCAATCGTATGACAGTTCAGTGGTGTTGTTTACATAGTCGATTTTTTTATTGGGTAGATTTTCTCGACAATTTTTCAGACTGCAGTGAGATTTAAACCACACTTTTGGGATGTCCCCGAAAAACGACATCCGTTCACCGCACATTTCCTTAGCATTTTTCAGATTAAATTTTGGAAATTTTCAAATAATTTTACCATTGAACTGTCTAAAACTTCATCCGATGAATGGTGTGGAGCAACATCTGTAAAACGGTCCCAATTAGATCGGATCTGTGTCGCGTTCGTATCCGCCAAGTTCGTCAAGTTCGAGTCTGATAGAAGTTTAGTTGGCTGTCACCCAGAGCTCCATTTGAGAATAACTTAAGCGTTTCAATTTCTATTGAAGATGATCCATGCTTTCGGCAATTGTCGAAGCAAACTGAAATCACCCATTCGAGTCTAGTCCTTTTGATAGTGGGTCGTTGTTATTCTCAATTTCGTCATGAATTTTCAATTGAATTTGAGAAAAAGTTGCGGGAAACTCACGGTTCACAAGCGGTTGCAGTTGTTACTGTCATTGACTTTTTTTTCTTTGATTAACGTTTACATATATCGTCGCATTTCACATGATTTATTCCTCATCTAAGAATTGGATTTATTATTAATCATTAATTATTTCAAATAAAAGTTTTCCGTCTTTCAACTAGTCTACATTCTTCCCCCTTAGGGTGATGAATCTGAGATCGGAGAAGATCAGAGGTGATTTTAATAGTCACTCGTTAAGCTTGCCACTTACGACAGCGCCGGTGAGGCAATAAAACCAACTTGCTTCCGACCCATTCAGCTTAGTTTTCGAAGTATCGTCGATCAAGAGCATTCTGACGTTTTGAAATAGTGGAATTTGTAAAAATGATACTGATACTGTTGGCCATTTGCCTGGTCCTAAGTGCGGTGCAATACTTTCGATTCCGACGAGGCATATCATTTGCAAAGAATATACCATCCGTGGAACCGGTTTACCCAATCGTTGGAAATGGATTACTGTTTCTGGGAAAAAGTGATGAAGAATTGTTTACCAATTTCTCCCAGGCGTTGAACCATCCTGGCAAACTGTTTCAGATATGGTTGGGAGTCGTTCCGCTAATTTGCACCAACGATCCGGGCGTTGCGCAGAAAATTCTTACCCAGTGCCTCGAGAAACCGTTTTTGTACGATTTCTTCAAACTTGATCATGGACTGTTCTCCGCGCATTGTGAGTTTGTGGTTGAAAAAAGAAGACCAGATTAGATCCAAAGAAGATACTTACCACCGGTCCCGTTCACAGATCACATCTGGAAGGACCAACGGAAATCGTTGAACTCCACGTTCAACCAACGAATCCTGAATGGGTTCCTTCCAGTGTTCGATCAATGTGCCCGGAATTTGGTGGAGAAACTCCAGTCCTGTCCAAAGGGAGAGCCGATCAAGATCATTGACTACACGTTGCGATGCACCCTGGAGATGGTTTGTGGAACGACGTTCGGAGTGGATATCAACAAAAATCCGGGAGTGGATAAGCTGTCTAGCTTGATTACGGAGTAAGATTGTGCGATGACTGAAGAGATGGTTATTTTATCAGCAGTGTATTTTATTCGCTAGGATTTTTCACCTGGCCTCGAAGCGTGTCCTGAAGATGCATTTGTTCTGGGAAAGAATTTATCGAATGACCGGTGATTATCGGCTGGACGTAAAGTTGAGAAAAGAGGCCTACTACTATATAGATCGGGTAAGAGTTGCAATTGATTCCATTTGACTTACTTGGTGCACCCGCCAGGTTATTTGGTTTTTAACAAACCGTTCAATTTGATAATTTTTCTACAAATTGAAATTTGATCGTTTTATTAAGATTGAGTTCTTAAAAACTTTGCTGCCTTGTGGGACTGAAATCCGTACAACTGAAAAAAATGATGCAAGATCCGTAAGCCTGTTACAAAATGTATTACCAAACAATTGAAGTGTAGCCACTAGATCATCACGGTTTTTCACGATGTCCTCAGCATCGACATACTGGGATGAACAAAAATTTCGGAACTGGAAATTTTAAATCGAATCGCAAATGGCATTAGATTTTTTTTAAAATAAACCAATTTTGATGATATTGGATGCATTTTATTAAAATTTGGAGCAGTTTTAATAAATAATTTGATAACTTGTGGTATGTACGATGTATACGGTGTATTAAAAACATAGTGTGCATGTATTTTTTTTCTGATATGGAAATTTATTTGCAATCAAATTTGTTTCCTGTTACTTGAAGCAAATCTGAGTTCAATGCTGGTCACAGATCCAAGATCTGATAAGAAACAAACGAGATTTCCTTAATATTTTTTCTGGTGAAGTGATAATTAATTTGGATTTTTTGAATCTCGTCAATATGGGTATCAATTCTCATGATTTGTCAGCGCAATGTCTTTTAATAATCGTTTTTAGCGTTACAAGTTGCGATGGCCATGCTGGAGCAGGATCTGGGTTCAAGGTTTTGCAGGCCAAGTAATTGGTAACTTTTTCAGGACTACAGCTTGTCCCAGATTCATTGGAATAGATTCTGCGGGCAGGGTAACATGTTTCGGTAGTGTATCCGCTGCCTTCGGGATATCCAGAACCTGCTCCAAAAGTTGCCATGCAAGTTTGACAATCAAAATCATCCGGTCATGTTCAAAATTGGCCACTTTTCCAGGGCACCCAGAACTGAGAACATGAAAAATCTGTAATTGACATTGGCTTGTTAAATCTTGATACTCATTTTGATATGGTTCTGGTTGTATCTCAAATTGGCCACAATCCCTGGGAATCCAAAACATGCTTCAGCTTTGGACATGAAAAATCAACCATTGGCATTGCTGGCAAAATTTTCAACACCCATATTGATACGGTTCTGCTCATGTTTCAAATTGGCCACTTCTCCCAGGGCATCCAGAAGCTGCTACAGAGTAGCCATGGCAAGTTATTTTCCTGATAAAGCTGCTATTGCTGTTGGTTTGCAAAATTTTGAAATTTGACACCCATGTTGATAAGGTTCCGGTCAAATCTCAATTTGGCCACTTCCACTCAAGATAAGTTAAGTTAAGGTTTAGTTAAAGCTTAGTGAAGGTTTAGTTAAAGTTAAGTTAGAGTTTAGTAAAAGTCAAGTTAAATATATGGTAAAGTTCAATTGAGTAAATGTTTGTTAAAATTAAGGTTTAAGTTATGCTAAAGTTATTTCCAGCGAAACTTCCAGAGAACTTCAGGGAAACTTGGAAGTTGTTGAAAGCCTTTCAAATTCATTGAATGTTCTTGAAACTTTTTGAAAGTTTTTGAATATTTTTGGAACTCCTTGAAACTTCTGGGTGTGCAAAGATATTTCTTGACACTTCACTTGAAAGTCCTTGCTAAGCTAAAATTAAGTCAGGTTAAAGTAATATTTAGATAAAGTTAAGTTTAACTTAAGTTGAACTTAAAGTAAAGTATAGTTTATATGTTAAAGTTTAGGTAAAGTTTAATAAGTTCAAAATACGTCAAAATTGAGATAATAACCCATGATAAACCCAACAAACAAAAAATTGCAGGCAAAAACTAGGCTGGACAGGTTAATATTCATCTAAAATTATTGGTTATGAAGTTAAGCTCAAATCAAATTATATTTAAGTAAATGTTTAGATAAAGTTTACAAGTATAGTTGAAGTTAAGTCAAGTTAAACTTAAAGTTCAGTGGAGTTAATAAAACAAAGTTAAGTAATAGTATGGTTAAAGTTAAGTTATATATTAAAGATAAGTCAAAGTTAAGCTAAATATGCGTCAAAGATAAGCTGAAGTTATGCATAACTTCAGCTTAAATACGTTCAGTTAAGTTTAGATAAAGTGAAGTTAAAGCTATATAAATTATTGAATAATGTTAAGTTTAAGTTTAATTAATGTACAGTTAAGTTCTTGTTAAAATTATTTCCAGAGAACATCAGGAAAACTCATTGCAAGTTTTTCCAACTTCTTACAAGTTTTTCCAACTTCTTGGAAATATTTAAAAGTTCGTTTAACGTAATGGAACTCCTTTAAACTTCTTTCAAGTTCGTGTTTAGTTAAAATTTAGTAAAATTTGTGCTAATATTTAATTAATGTTTAGTTGTAGTTATGAAAAGTTAAAGTTAAGTTTATTTGTTAAAGTTTAGTTTAGTTAATATAAAGTCAAACAGTAATTAAAGTTTTGAAAAGGTTTAGTTAGAATATATTTAAAGTTTATTCATGTTTAGTTGAACGTTTGTTAAAGTTTAGATAAAGTTAAGTTAAATTAATTAGAAAAGGTTCAGATAAAATTATGTAGATTAATTATTTTATTTATTAATATGTATTAAATTAAACTAAGGTTAGAGTAAAGGTAAGGACAAAATGAAAAATAAAATGAAATAAAACTCAGTTGATGTTTTGTGAAGGTTAATAATATTAAAATAAATTCAAAGTTATGGTAAATTTAGAAGATGAAGGTTCAATTAAAGTTACGTTAAAGGTTAATTAACGATCCGTTAATGCTTGGATAAAGTTAATTTCAGAATATGTTAAAGTTAAGTTAGATATATTGCAGTTATGCTAAAAATATTTCCAGGGAACTCCTGTACAGTTTTTATGTTAAAGTTAATACATGTATACATGTATGTACAAGTTAATATATGTATGTTAAAGTTAATATATGTATGTTAAAGTTAAAATACATATCCGGAATCAGATTCCCTATCCGGATATGAAATAAATTCCCTATCGGGATCCGACTACGTAATCTCCATCGGAATCCGTTTACAGAGTCCCCATCTAGATCCATATATGGATTCCCCATCGGAATCCGAACTTAGAATCCCCATCGGAATCCGTATTTGAAATCCCCATTGGGATCCATTTTGGGTTCCCCATCGGGATCCGTACTTGAATTCCCCATCGGGATCCGTACTTGCTTTTCCCCATCGGGATCCGTACTTGGATTCCTCATCGGGAACCGTATTTGGATTCCCCATCGGGATCCATACTTAGAATCCCCATCTGGATCCGTCTATTGAATCCCCATAGGATTCCCTACCGGGATCCGTCTACGGAATCTCCATCGGGATCCATTTACGGAGTCCCCATCGAGATCCGTCTATGGATTCCCCATCGGGATCCGATCTTCGAATCCCCATCGGGATGCGTATTTGAAATCCCCATCGGAATCCGTACTTAGAATCCCCATCGGGATCCATACTTAGAATCCCCATCGGGATCCGTCTATTGAATCCCCATCGGGATCCGTACTTAGAATCCCCATTGGGCTCCGTACTTGAAATTCTCATTGGGATCCGTCTTCGGAATTCCCCCTATCCCCATCGAGATCCGTACTTTGGTTCCCCATAGGGATCATCACTTGAATTCCCCATCGTGATTCGTACTTGTTTTTCCCCATCGGGATCCGTACTTGGATTCCCCATCGGGATCCGTATTTGGATTCCCCATCGGGATCCGTACTTAGAATCCCCATTGGGCTCCGTACTTGAAATCCACATTGGGATCCGTCTTCGGAATTCCCAACGGGATCCATACTTGGATTCATAAATTGGATGCTAACGTCATTTTGGAGTTCAATCCGTACTATCATATACCCTACAATATGAGTACTTTTTTATATTTGATGCCATTTTTGAATTCAAGATGAAGTATCTTTCATGGATACTTTCGTGAGGAGCAAATCCAGTCCAAATAGTACAAAAAAAAAAAAACATATTTCAGACCTCTCTTACCTCTTCAAATTCCATGAAACATCGCAAAATTGTTCACTTTGAGCAATAAAGGCTGTTAACAATAATTTTAAAAAGTCCATTGGTTGCTTTTATTTAAACTTCAAAGTTACAGCATAAGATGGTTAAAGTTCTCCAGTTCGAACGAAATCTCGAACCTTCCTCTTAAGGGAGCCCCTCAGCGCCCGCACAGTGGAAACGGACACAGAATCAGCGCATTTCTTCCATTTTGCCCGCATTTGCTTAAATTGCCCAGTATTTTTCAATAGTTCGAAATTTCAGGCAATTCGGAGGATTCATAAGCTTGGAGACAAAATCGATCTTGTTGGCAGCATACCACTCCAGAATCACCTTGGAGTGGTGGCAGTTGGCCAAATCGGGCCAGAAGATGACTTTGCCCCTATGCTTGCGGATGAACGGCAATACACGCTTTTTCAGGCTTTCTTCGGTGTAAACTTGGGATGTCATCGTCGAGGATGTGACAAATGGTTCCGTTTTCAGGCCATAACTGCAAATCACTTGCCAAATCATGGCCTTCTTCGCGAACAAGTCGGCAATCACGAACTTGAATATTCCCGGAACATCCCCACGTCCAGTCGCGATGTAAAACTTTTGACCGGGAAGCTGCTTAAATCGAGTTTGACGAGTCATCATCGATCAAAGGGCAGTACTTGTGATTCGTCAAAACACGGTCGTACAAAAGCCTTGCACGCTTTTTGGTCATGGAATTTTGCTTCATGTGCCGGTTCGGATGTTTACTGGCTTTGTACGACTTGTATCCTTCCCTGGCAAGGATGTTCCGCACCGTTTGAAAGTTGGCTTTGTACTTTCTGGCCACATCTCGGATAGAAAGACCGGGGTTGGCTTTAACGCACCTTAACACCTTGCTACGCAGCTGACGATCTCTGGTTCCAGTTTTTCCGTAGGTCCGCTGACTGTTTTCTACACTCAGGGTTTCTTTGTAGGTTTTGAGCACTCGACAAACTGTTGTTTTCGGCATCTTCAGCACTTTAGCCAACTTGGAACCGGACCACTCCGGACTGTTACTATGATGCACATAAATGGAGCGTCTTATTTCATATAGGGGAAATGGCTCATCAATGGCTTATCAAATGTATCTAGATGAACGCGTCATTGCCCTAATGGATATTTTTGGACGCTATTGAAACTTTAGTCGATTGCTGAAATTAGGGGCATTTAGGCCGACATTACATCCATTTTACCTATCATTACATAATAGATCGTGTAAATGTATGTGGCATATTGAACGGGACCGTCCATCTTTGTAGGCAACATTCCTTACAAGTGCCAGTTTACGTGAAAAGCTACATGCATTAATGTTGCTTGCATGGCTGTTTACATCACCAGTAGAATTCAGTTTTGGTTCTGTGTAGATGGCCAGGATCTCAAGATAATTTCTACAATTCTGAACTAATCAACTCACCATCAGGATGGCTTTGGTCACCTATAAAACTTAGCCAAATACAGTTACTTGCTAGGAGCCTCGTGTATGAAGATGTAGCTTCAACAGGAACTCCAAATGCACACTAGTGCCGCGTAGTGAGTGAGCTTTGAACTAATATAACCTCCTTCGGGAGGGACTTGGTAACCTGAACTACTTTCTCCGAGACAGTAACTTTCTAGGTGGTCAGTATCTCGAGTTATAGCTTATACAGGATGTTCACATGTATACTAGCACCACCTTCTTAACTAATATTAAATCAAACAAAACATCGTTCCAAAAATACTCATATTGTAGGATTTTCAAGCAATGTATACCACGCACCACTAACCACGTACCACTTTATCTCGCAGCACAATGGCCATTGGGATGTATACCAAAAATTAGGTTGAAGTTACCAAATTTAAAATTTGTTGTAGTAATCTAATCAATCGTTGCAATCTGATGCCGCCAATGCTAAATTAAAAAAAAAGACAAAAATGGCTTATGAACCGCTTGAACTCACAACGATTTATATATGTTCTAATAGAAAATCATACCTTAAGCGAATTTACAAAGTCTTTGTTCATCACTCAATTTTGCAGATCGTTCAGGATGCCTTAGTACGGAAAAATAAAAAAGTAACCTTTAGCGCAAACAGCGACACCGAAAGCGACGGCTATCGGAAGCCGCAGATATTTGTCGATCAGCTTCTCGAACATCAGGGTGGCAACAATTTCTCCGAGATCGAGATTCATCACAATGTTTATACAATGATCGTTGCGGTAGGTTCCTCCCACGGTATTATTTTGATTTAACCAAACCCGTGACTTCCATTCCAACAGGGCAGCGACACTTCCGGCAACGAAATGGGCTACATTGCCCTCATGCTGGCCTTACATCCGGAGTTGCAGGAGAAAGTGTACCGTGAAATAGTGGAAGTATTCCCAACCGAGACCGAATTCACCTTGGACAACCTTCGTCGACTTGAGTACATGGAAATGTTCATCAAGGAGTGCCTACGGTTGCTACCGATTGGACCGCACATTATGCGGCAGTCAACGGCTGACATCGAGCTTGATGGGGTTGTCGTGCCGGAGGGTAACATTCTGGTTGTCAGCATTTACAACATACACCGAAGGAAGGACATTTGGGGACCGGATGCGGACAAGTTCAATCCGGAGAACTTTTCGCCGGAGCGCAGTGAAGGACGACACCCGTTTGCGTTCATTCCGTTCAGCGGAGGCAACCGGAACTGTATCGGATCTCGTTACGCAATGTACAGCATGAAGATCATCTTGGTGCATCTTTTGAGGAACTTCAAATTCCTGACACGTCAGCGCTTCGATGATATCCGGTTTCAGTTTGATGCTTTGTTGAAAATGACACACGAACCGGAAATCTTGTTGGAACGACGACAACGTTCGGCAATACAGAAGGAATGAACTGTTGAACAATATATTGAAGCGAAAGGGTATTTTTTTTTTATAATGCTTTTATTTTTTAGCTTTACGGAGCCGATATTCATTATTTAGATAACAAAATTTCTTAAACTAACGTTAGTAAAGCGGGGGCCGATTACTCGTGGCTATCTCGAGGTTAGGGGTAACAAATTGTAACATATGGATGGCAGGGTAAGGATTGAGAACACACGGTTTGGAGAGCAATGTGCTCTTGATCTCGAACTAACTGATGAAAAAGACAAACATGGGGGTACACCGATGGGCAGCTAACAACTTGGGGGAACACAAGATGACACTAACTACTAAATCCTCAGATCTATCCGTTTTAAAAACACATAAATTAAATTGCAATAGTCGAGATCTCGGCTCGCCAAGATGTCGCTAACAGGTTGTTTTCCTCGGGCCCTGAGGGATGCGGATAACTCGGATCTAGCAACACAATGGAGAGTGCAACCAAAGCACGTGGTCGATATCGTGATAGCCACTACCAAAACCGTACAAATTGCTGCCTGCGAGCCCGATTCGGAAGAAATGCGGGTCTAAGGAGTAGTGATTGGACATGATCCTTGACATGACACGTATAAAGTCACGGCTCATGTCCAATCCTTTGAACCATGGCTTGTTCGATAATTGTGGGAGAATAGAATGTAATCATCTTCCCAGATCACTCTCATTCCATTTTTGTTGCCAGTTGGTGAGGACGTGCTGACAGGTAATGGAGAAAAATTCCGCAAAGGCGATTTGTCGATCAAAAATATTGCCTTCCATAGCGCCCACCTTAGCTAGCGAGTCCGCTTTCTCATTACCCGGAATTAAGCAATGAGATGGGACCCAAACTAAGGTAATAATATAGGAGCAGTTAGATAAAGTACTCAATTTAGCTCGGATTTCGGTCAGGAAATACGAGGAGTGCTTCATCGGCCTCATTGATCGAATAGCCTCCAACGAGCTAAGGCTATTTGTAAAATAAAATAGTGATCAGATGGTAGGGAGGCAATTTGCTCTACTGCGTAAAATATGGCTGCTAGTTCTGCAACGTATACGGAACAGGGTTTTTGCAGTTGATATGAGGCGCTATGAAATTCGTTGAATTCTCCAAATCCAGTGGAAGCGTTTATAGTTGACCCATCTGTGAAAAAAAAACTCTTATTGTTACTGACACGTTGGTACTTGTTTGCAAAAATTAAGGGAACAACCATCGACCAATGGTGATCTTGCAACACGGTCAGATTAAAATTTACAGAGGAACTATAAAAGTCTTGGAAGCAAACACGAGAGGAATTGAATGAAGAAGGGCCAATCTCCAGCGTCATGTACTCGTAATAGAGACTCATGAATGTTGTTTGAGGATTTCTGTCGAGCAGCTTCTCAAAGTTTTCTATTACCAATGGATTCATTACTTCACAACGGATAAGAAACCGGAAGGACAGTTCCGCGAAACGATCTGTCAGTGGGAGAACACCCGCGAGTACTTCGAGGCTCATCGTATGCGTCGAGTGCATACAGCCAAGCGCGATTCGGAGGCAACGGTATTGAACCCGTTGCAGTTTCAGGATATGTGTTTTTGCCGCGGATTGAAAGCAGAGGCTACCGTACTCTAGAACCGACAAGATGGTTGATCGATACAACTTGATCAGATCTTCCGGGTGTGCTCCCCACCAAGTTCCAGTAATTGTACGAAGAAAATTGATTCTTTGTTGGCTTTTTTGTTTCAAAGGGTTATTGACAATACGATTATTTTCCGAGCAATTGTGTTGGGTCAACTTAGGCAGGCAACATTGGTGTTTCTGGGGCGTTGAATAGGGCACAAAAATCATGGCTACTATGTCACACTGCAAAATACAGTGTTGCCTACAGAGCAGCTGCTTGATCATGTCAAAAGTTTACCAATCTCTTAAATAATTAATAACTTTTTCCTGTCTCGTTTTACATAGAAACGATCTTGAGCAAAGTTGTAGCTGAGAAAATTTTCTTTAAGAATGGCTGTTGAGCTGTTTCGCAGCTCAATATGGAAAAACACTAGAAGGCAATGAACAAAAAGTTGAGATTTCCCATAGTAATTTACATGTAAACTTCAAATGGATTGTGCGAAGTCTGTTTCTAACCAAATGAGTTGTATCTTTGGGAGGCTAATCAGGAGCCGATTTGAAACCATTTAAGCACTGTGGAGCGAAAAAGTCAAATTTTGCATCAGTCTAATATCCATACGACACAAAATATGCAGCATACATTCAAAGAAGCGAATCCATGCATGAAGTGGAGATATACCATAGACTAAGGTATCTACTTTGTATAGAAATCCTTCTTCTTATTTGTCTTTGTTGTTAATTACGTTTGGAGTTGCCCCACAAATAGGACAGTTCTGCATTGATGAACTACCACAAATATATGTTAACACCTTACCGTCAATCATACTTAGTGCAAATTTAAAATCAACTAAGATTGTGTTTCCGTTTATAAGATGAAATTTCACTGGTATTAGTTCTTGCATTTCTTTCTCCACGTCTTATTTTGTAGCAAGAAATATCTCTTTACTCTCTTTCACGAACTGCAGGATGAATGGCCCACAAAACCGAATGTTTTGAGGCATGCGGTTAATCCACATAATTTTGTTCGGATTATTCACCATATATAACCGTACTGGAGAGAGTGTTGATGAGAATACATCAGAATCATCTTGACATTCGTCTGGCACTTTTAGATGATACTGGGAATAACCGGTTATACCATCCTTGCTCCAACTACTCAATAGAATCTACTCTGCATATTCCAGTTTATTTGATGTCATAAACTCGTCGAGTTCCATCTCAATAACTTTGATGATTCGTTGGACTGTATGTTCCAACAGAGCCTGTAGTTTCACCCTTATTTTGAACGCAGTTTCCTTAATTAATTGAATTTGAGGGGCACATACTTTTTAAAATGTCCTGATAACGTTGTATGGCTCACCCCAGCTGGCCTAGGTTCAATCCCAGTCGGCGCCTCCGGGATGTTCTGAGGCATAACATCCTTGATCAAGCCTTCCTTCGGAAGGGAAGTAAAGCCGTTGGTCTCCGGTTCATGAGTTGATGGGTCGATATGTAGGGTCCAGGTGTGGGAGCTGCCTTCCTGGCACGTCGGTAGCATTGGTGCTCAGCACGGAAAACAAAATCGACGGAAAACAAATCAAGGAAAAAAAACGTTGTATGGTGGAAATCTTGATGGTGCCTCTCGATGTATTACTTCGTATTGACTTTTGCTTAAGCCAGCTTCAATGAACATACTAAATGCTTCTTCAGGTGACATCATTCCACGTTCATCTGTTAACTGCGCGTATGTTTTCTTTTTATGTTCTTGGGTTTTAATAAGGTGCACAATGACCTTTACCAGATTAAGGTCCCGTCGATTATAGGCAGTCCGTTACGTAATAAATAAAGCCTTCTCGATGCTGTCCACCTTTAGATTGACTTCCTCGTTGTTGATGAGACGACGCTTGCTTCTTTCGCTCAGCTTATTAAACTGTTTTGAAGGTCTCCCTCGTTTTGATGCTGAAAGAACGTTCTGCTCCTCTTCGATGAATTCCTTGATGGCTAATTAGATTTGAGCCAACTCCGATGATCTGAATCAAATCTCTCTATTTATCGTGGAGATTGATTCCACTTCTTCTTGTATTTACTCACGAGTGTGTAAATTTTATCATGCAGTCGTGTTTGGTTTTCCACGTGGATATGATATTTTTCACAAATATACTTGAGAGCTTTTTGAACATTTTCTATCCATGTGCGCTGAAACTAGAAATAACCCAAACAATTTATATAAGATTATAAGATATATAAGTAGCTTCAACAAGTCTTGAATCATAGGTAGGAATACTGGGTAGCAGATGCATTATTCTACCTTTGATACATAATTAAGCCCACAAATAACAGGTAGGCCCTAGTATCTGCTTTGCGTCTTCCTTGATGTAGGCTTCGTCATCCATAACCACACACATCGGTTTCGTTAACCACTCTCGATACAGCTTCCTTGCGCGGGATTTGGCTGCCGTGTTTTGTTGATCACGCCGGTTCGGTGCCTTCCGGACCTTGAATACACGAAGCTCAGCTCGTTTCATGGTTTGCTGAACGAACCAGGCGGTACACTTTGCCTTCAGAGCCGCGTCGCGAATCGAAAGGTTCGGATTACGCTTGAAATAATTCATCACCTTCCGGGCCTTCACAGGGTCAGCTGTCTTCGATTTTCTTCCACTTCCAGCCCGCCGCTCGGTCGTCTGGGACTTCTTAAACGATTTTACCACCCGAGACACAGTTTTATGAGTGATTCCAAGTTGTCTTCCGATCCATCTCATGGTCACAGTCGGATTTTCCATGACGGCGTGCTAAATTCTCCGGCGATTTTCTTCTTGTTTCGATGACATCTCAATAACCACTGAACCGATGGTTATGAAATTTTGCACATGTAAACAATTCACTCCAAACTAGTTATACCCAGATTTTCATCAATTTTTACCCACGGTTAAAAAAGTTACACACGGATAAAAATGGTGCATTTTTTTCGAGTACAAGCATTAATCAAACGATTCCTTGGTTAATCAACTACAAACTGATTACATTTTGATGTCTGAACAAATTTGTGATGCTAGATTTTTTCATAATGCAGCTAATTAAGAGGTGCCGATAATAGGAGAACCGGTTAACACGTAAATGAAATGGAAAGGCTGTCGAAGAAAAAGAAGCTGCCAATAATTGTCCCACTCACCTGGGAAGTTTGAAGCGTTGTAAAAACGATTACAAAACAATTTTGGAAAATTAGGTTGATTGGAATACATAAATCTTCACTTAGGGTTTTTGATCTAATTTCCGTCCTACTAAGCACAACGCACACTTTACCTCTCTTTTCTGAACGAGTTGAAACTAAAAATGGAATATTTCTGTCAAAGATGACTTCTAAATTTATTTTTCTTTCCATACGTACCGTTGGATTTGATAAAGAGCCACAAATTGTTGAGATATTGTTTAAAATCTAATACTGCTTCTTGATTCTAAATTCGTACTACGAGTTTCAATTCCGTCCTAACGCATTGAAACGCCATTAGATTTTCTTCGTCCTACGGATAAGCGTAGAAAAAGGGGATTCGCAAGGGAGCGCTTCTTTTGTTTTGAGAACAATGAGCGTAAATATTCATACAATGCGCTCTAACAGGATTTATGTTGTAGCTAATGAACTACCGCATCGGAACAAACCTATTATTGATTTGTGTACGGTGAAATCATTGATATTATTGATCTTTTTTGATCGATAGAACGGAAATGGGCGATTACGACGAAGGAGCGCTCTACCCTACGCGAAAATAATGTATTTAATGTATTTCTGAGGCATAACATCTCTGATCACGCCTTCCTTCGGAAGGGAAGTAAAGCCGTTGGTCCCCGGTTCATGAGTTGATGGGTCGATAGGTAGGGTCCAGGTGTGGGAACTGCCCCCCAAATGGCACTAGTTTGCGCAAGATTTTTTTTCTGAACTCGAAAAAATACGCATAAAACTTGATCATGGAGCATAAAATGACTTGGGAATGTTTGGGAAAAAACATGGCTGACCAACAAAAAAATAAATTTCATGTTTTCTTGTTATATCCACATTTTTTTTTATTATTATAATTTTTTTAAAAATAATGTCTTCTTTTTTTATTGCATTGTCATTAAAAGATCTGTTGATAAGCTTTCTAATGATATGTAAAAACATAGGAATAACTGTTCAATAAATAATAAAATATTAACACATTAACGCTTGTTTTTTGAGCAAAAAGTGTATGATTTCAGCGCTTTTTCAACTTTCAAGTTGAATATCTATTAAACTACAAATCGTAGATACCTAAAATTTTGGGAATTTCTTAGTCATTATTATTTCTAGTCTTAGTATTCCAGAAACTGAGTTAGAAAAAGACAGTTTTCCTATTTTTGTCCGCCTGATTTCCTATAGTGCATTGTCACATCATGGATGGATGACAAGGTGGACTTCCGGCAGCTTCCAGAGCTACTATTCTTCACCGTCCAGCACAAGTTTGATGTTCCAGAGGAAGTGAGGAAGTAGAAACTTTCAAAGTTTGCCAAGAAATACATGATTTGGCAAGCGATCTGCTCATGTGGTAAATGGAGTGCGCCGTTCGTGACTATCGGGACTGTAAATGGGGAGATCTACCTCAAGGAGTGTCTACATAAGCGTTGGCATCCTCTGTTGAAGAAACACGAGGGCTTTACAATATTCTGGCCAGATCTAGCTTCGTGCCATTATTAAAACGCTGTCCTGGAGCTGTTATGAAGCAGGCACTACGGAAGCATCCCAAGGAGGTCAAATTTGAGGAATACATGAAGAAAAACTGGGTTTCCATACAGAAAAAGCTGCAGCTAGATGTTTTACAGAACCTAATGAGTGGGGTTAAGCGAATAAAATAAATATGCCAAAAGCTTACTACCTAAATAAAAAATAAAATAAAAATAAGAAAATGAAAATAAATAAATAAATGTTATTATTGATATCAAATTTAGTAATCTGAGTATTTTGAAATTTATTGGTTGATATTAAGATTCAAAATAAAAAAAAAATATCGATATGTTGTCATCTATTCAACATTTAAACAAACCTATATTTCAGTCAGTCAGTGTTCACTCAGCTGTCGACAAAAGCAGGCCACTCTCGATGTGTGCTACGCGATCGTCTGTTTCCTCGGCAGCAACCATTGTGTGGTCCTCCTCATTGTTCTTCATCAGCAGTTCTTTCGGTCGATGCGTCGTCGACTTTGGAAAGCAACCGTTTCATGATGAGTGTGTGAGTGCTGACCACATTTTGCGTCCATTGCTGCAATGGACGCGCTCTGACCCTCGTTGGCGTACAACAATTTGCCATACTATGAAACTACTGGAAGCGGCTCCAGTTCTAATGGAGGAGGCTTTTTGGATAGCGGAAGATTAAGTGTTTATTGTGTTGTACCTTTTGACTATAGTTTTAAGATGTATTGTTAAGTGAATAAGAATCCTCGGCTCTGTAAAGTTAATTCGGTTGGGCCTTATCAAATAAATTATTAAACAAAAAAAAATATATTTCAGTCAGTTTTCAGCATGATATTATTCGGTTGAAATAAAATCACAGTAGTAATATCACAATTTGTTTTCCATAGTCTCATTTAAGACAAATATTAAACTCACCTGTAATCATAAACTGGAATTCTTAAATTTGGTACCCGAAGAAAATCCAAAAGCTTAAATATGAAGAACGATTGAAGTTTATTAAATCCAATTGCACAGACATAGACGATGTGAATTTTTAAAATTTAAAATTTAGTATTCATGACAAAAATGTAAAAAATGGGCTGCGATGATTCTTATATTAATATCTGAGTGGTGCGAAGTGAAATTTTCTTCATGTTGGTAGTGTTGAAATAAACGTTTCATCACCGTCGGTTGGTAGAGAGAAGTGTCAAACGGCTTTTTGTGCAGAGCCGATTCGTGACTTTGTGATTGTTTGTTGACATTGTTCATAGCTGGAGTTTTTACGGAGTGGAATAAAATTCAGAATGAAGTGTTTTGCTCACTTTTGCAATTATAAAGATGGACACGACGAAAAGCGAAGCCTATTCAAGTTTCCCAAGGATTCAGCAGTACGAAAAGAGTGGCTCAGTTTCTGTGAGGTGGATTGTAATGTATAGAATCAAGTGTGCTCACGTAAAAAGAACAAAAAAACGAAGATTCAATAGTGGAACAATGTATAATGTTTGGTTTTGAAGATGTTTAAATAAATATCCACAGAAAAGTCTGTTTAATGCATCCTCATTTAATCTCATCCCTGTTTTGCTTCTGTCTGCAAAATATACTTTTCATTTCAGGGAAGTCAAGAAAGAATAAAACCCTGACACATCCTCTACCTGACTTGCAATTAAACATAGTAATTTTTATTTGTGTAAATTGTTGCAAATCAGATGCATATTTAATGTGGCCGACGATATCTATGGAAGTGCTGTCGAAATTCCCTGGGACCTCCAATGGCAACGATTTGACTTCCCTCCAAATCGTGTGAAACTCGAACATGAAAACTCTATAGAACCCCCGTAGAACCTCGCTGGCAGCAACTAAAATATCCACTGAAACCTCCTCTGTCGCGGGAAAAATCTGTTGAAATTTCCTGGAACTTTTGTACTATCATCACAAATCTCCTTAGAACGTTCTCCGAAGTCACAGTCGTTCCTGAGCGAAAAAAAATCGGAGGGGTTTTTTTCAGCGCAGGAGTCTACTTTGGTCCAAAATACGCAATAATACTGTTATTTTTAATTGTTTGAGTCGTTTCGAATCACGTTTTTAAAAAGATCAAAAACATTACTGAAAAATATGTATTTTTTATTTTGGACGATAACAATACTTCTATCTATTTCAACGAACCACAATGATAAAAAAGTGGTTCGATTTGACAGCTCGAAAGTGGTTCGATTTTGAGGTCCGTCTTCGCACCACTCAGATTAATATGAATGGTAAATTCCTTCGCATCCAACGTATATTAACAGACATGAATGACGACATTTATTTTGTTGGGAGAGAACTGATAGCCAATGAGATTAATGACAACATGTTTAAATATGAGCTAAGAAAACGACTAAGCCTTCGAAAGTTAAATAACAATGTTTGATAATGTATAAGTTTAAGTATTAAAGACGAACAGAACGAAATCAATTTTATATCGATTTGTTAGTTCAATGTGCAGGTAGATTAATATCATTAAATGATGTAAAATTTATATTATATTTATATAAACCCTAAAATGATTGTCCTTGTGAAGTTCATGAAGAAAACAGCAAGCATCCTGGTTGACTCGTAAGAAAAAATGTTGATATCAGTGATAAATGTGGATGCTCTTTTTGTAAAAAATCTCATATTTTGTTTTTAATTATATTTTTTAGAAATATAAAAATAATATCAATACATACATTCAACGGAATTTAAAAATAACACATCAAAAACATGATTTGTTATCATTTTGATATTATTTTGATATCCTACTTTGCTCTGGTAGAGTCTGGTACTATTAATAATGCATCTGAAATGGTTGAAATGCACAATCTCAAGTAGCTTCGGATGGGCATATGCTGAACAATAACATATCTGAACCAACAAATCGTGATGATTTTTTATTGCAGAATCCAGTGATGACAAGCAGGGACATAGTGAGGGGCGTCTACGTAACGTCCCCATCGCCCCTCGAGATTTGTACTATATTATCATTTCTAATCCATTTTTGTATCAAAAATTCCCTCTTTGCAATTCATGCTCCCCCGCAGTAAACAATCGATAGTTGTTTCAGGCACGTGAATCCACAAGAAATCAAATGTTCGGGATTTTGAAATTGTGAAGAGACACGAGAAAAAATGCTCTGCCTTAACCTTAATCTTAACCCTCCCGTCTCTCCAACCTTATCGTATGATCAAATGCTAGCTTCAAAGTCGGTCCAAACCTATACCGCAGCTGTTCTGGTTGAATCTTGGTCGATAGTTTGAAGTTCCTCAAAATGTAGATGATTATTATCTTCATACTGATCATTGCGTACCGACCACCTGAAAATGAAAAAAAAAAAACAAATTCATTCTCGTTCATTCCCGTGCAACGAACACATCATGCTCAAACCTATGCAATCGCGAGGTCCAGAACTAAATGGAATGAACGTCCCAGTCGGGCGCTGCCGGCAGTTATCTTCGCTGAAATTCTCCGGATCAAAAATATCCGCCTTAGGACCCCAAAGATCTTGCCTTCGATGCATGGCGTACAGACTCAGGATGATAACCGTCCCTTTCGGGACGGTCAAACCATCGAGTTCAACATTAGCCAAAGTTTCCCGAGCTATATTGGGAGCTGGACCACTAAGACGAAGCGTTTCCTTGATGCACATTTCGGTAAAGATCAGACTTTTCAGTCCGTCCGGGGTGATTTCCGCTTCAGGAGAAGCGTAGAGGGCGTTGATTTCCTGATATACGCGTTCTTGAATCTCCGGGTACATAGCAAGCCATAGACAGCAGTGGGATATTGCTAGAGCAGATGTGTCATTTCCCTGTTGATGGCGGTTATTAAAATAATCGTAATTTGGAGACGGTACTGGCAAAAAGGAACTCACAGCCGCAATCATTGTCCTCACGTTGTGCTGTATTTCATCATCATCGAATGATTCCCCGGCACGCTTGGTAGACAATATCTGATCCAAGAAGATTTGTGGCTTACGGTAACCATCCTGATCGTTATCAGCCGTCTTTTGCAAACCATCAGTCATGAGTTTCCTGCGCCGTTTTTCAATTATCTGGAACAGTGAAACAGAATTATCGACTAGCATCGATCAAACACAGAGATGTTTTACTTCAGCAGCGTATCTTTGGTTCAGCATGAGGGAGTACATTTCCCGCCAGAAAGCTGGCGTGAAAACATACACAAGATCGATTTGCAGATGTAAGCTAAGAATACGATCTCCCATGATGACCATCGCTCTTTCTATGTGCCGAAGGAATCTGCTTCCGGAAGCACGCCGAAGATTTTCCATGCCGAGAGTAGTCCCGCAAACCATCTCCAGAGTGCAATGAGACACATACTGATACAGGTTGATCGCGTCTTCACGCGGTGCTTGCTCCAAACGGTCGATCAATTTCCTACTGCAGTCCACAAATATCGGTATAAAACTGTGCAAGATTCGCAAGTTGAATGTTGAATTCAACACTTTTCGTTGCGACTTCCACAGTGCATCTGCAATCTCCATTTTTGAAACATCATCACACACAATTTTACCAAAATAAAAAATAAACACTTACGTCGCGCCACCAGCAGCCCCTTGGTCAATCGAAGCTGTTTGTAGAAAAACAGAGGCCGCTCGATGCATTCCGGGTGGTTGGTGACCTGCTGAATCAAATCGGGATGACACGTTCCGAGTGCCAGCTTTGGTCCGAACCAAAGCTTGAAAAGGCGATCCGTCCGTTGGAATGCTCCGACGAAATTTTCGAATCTATCCTCCGGACTTTTACCGATAAACATCAACCCATTACCGAGCAGGGGGTACCAAGGATCGATGGACGGTAGATCTTTTGCGAATTGGTACTTCTTACGGCTGTTTCCGAAGATTAGCAGCGTCGCCAACGCCAGAATGAGCAGTAGTAACATGTTGCAAACGTTTCACACTGCTTCTTCGGGGAGCGAAAAGGTTGTACTAAAATGCAAGAATAACGTTCCTATTTGAAAGAGACATTACTGAGTGACGACGGTTTTTGCTGACATAAAGTGATGCATGAATAAAAAACAAATCTAAGGTCACATTGCTATGCGTATCAGGAATGAGAAAGACTCTGCGAGAAATTTTACAGCATCCATTAGATGTAGAGGACAACGGGGTTAGACGGCCACCCTAAGTTTGAAGTAAAATTTAACTAACTAAAAACTTCCGCCATAAATTTAGAAAATATTAATTTTTAGAGTACTTCCCTAATTACATAGATTTTCAGAAAATTTCCTTTTCATGTGATAATATTTTATCATGAACCAAAAACAGACTAAATATTGAAAGAAAACAATCATGCGGTGTAAAGTTGGCCACCCCTACACAGCAAAAAAATAATTTTGATATCACATCAAAGTGGATGCACTACAATCATGTCGAAAATTTCATGTAATTTTTATGACCACATAAATAAACAAATGCAGTAAAAGCAGCGTAATGTCAGTTCATGCATTGTATTAATGATAATTTTGTCCTTTTTAGCAAGTAATATTATACCATATTTTCGACATGATTGTAGTGCATCCACTTTGACGTGATATCAAAATTATTTTTTTGCTGTGTAAGAGTAAGACGGCCAAAACACCAATAATTTGATCTATTGTAGTATATCCCGTGTCCTTAGTTTAGTGCATGTCGTATTACTCCATCACTATTGAGAAATGATGAAGCATTCAATTTGTTTACAGTTGTCATTCTTGCATTTATCGCAAGGATCCGACTCTAATTGAAAGGTCCCGCTCTTTATACCCTTCGGAGTGTTGAAACTCCCTCCAAAGGCGCGCCCCTTTGTCAGTCAAAATTGGATTCCTTAGCAACAAAATTAAGGAATGACACCGATAATGACCATGCATCAGAACCCTTGTCTTAACCATTTCAAACTAGGGAACAACGAATGGAAGATTAGGAATCACATAGATGAAGACTAACAAACTCATTTTTTCCTTGTATCAAGATCATCCTCGGTGGACAAAGCCGAGTCTTGTCACTATCAACAAGGCATAAAAAGTAACAAGGACTAAGATGTGTTCCTTGGATTAATGAAAAATCCTGTTCCCCGTAACGTACCTGTTCCCCGTAACGTACCTGTTCCCCGTAACGTGCTTGGGAAGCGTGATTACCTCTCACCACAGCAGGCCTGGGTTCAATCCCAATAGGCGCCACCGGGATGTTCTGAGGGGAGTAAAGCCGTTGGTCCCCGGTTCATGAGTTGATGGGTCGATAGGGGTGGGAGCTGCCTCCTTGGCATCGGTAGCATTGGTGCTCAGCATGGAAAACAAATCAAGAAGAAGAAAAAACCTTGCTTCTACATGATAAGTGGTATAATAGCTCTGAAACAAAGAATTCCGTAAACACAAAATAAACAAATGCAGGCTGCCGCCATACACAATGTTTGCTTTTGTTGTTTATTTTGACGTTTTATTTGTTATCAAGTTAAAGTGTGTCTGTGTCTGCATCATTTTTTTAAAAAGTTGATTGTTTCAACAATCTATAAGATGGCCGTCTTACCCCGTCGTTCCCTATCAAGGATATTTATCCAGTAGAATGGCAGAAAGATTTAACACGTCTTGAAGACAGTTAAGTTACTCATCGTTGTTCTCAGTTAGGAGTTTTAACGGACTTAGTTGATGAGAGAATGTATATCTTCATCAAACGTGTAATCGCACAACGAGGAAGCAGATAAAGCAGCAGCAGCAGCAGCAGTCAGCACTCGTGTTTTTTTTAACTATCGTGGGGACGTAATTTGTGATTAGCCCCGGTCCCTTTCAAATTGTCTCGGCTCTTATACTATATTTGAAATGACGTTTCACATTCGTCTAGTGCTGTCCGATTTTTATTCGAATAATGGATTAATCGATTAACGAACCGAAAAGTTAAATATTTGTAATCGATTATATCATACCGATACTAACCTTACCAATCAGGCTAAGGCCTTGTTGTCCGAAAAAGTCGTCTTCACTCTACTCGATCCATGGCCACACGTCGCCAGCCTCGTAGTATGCGAAGGGTCCGCAGGTCGCCTTCTACTTGGTCGATCCACCTTCTTCTTGATCCTGTTGGGTAACTTTTGAGCAGAGATCGAAATTTTCGCGTACTTGAGAAGAGAAACGTATTTTTTCACCTGCTAGGAGGAATATATGAGAATGTGAGAAGCGAGAGAATATTATACGCTCACAGCAGTTTTCGCGAGAAAAGCAGCAGCGATTATTTTTTTTCGGAGAGCATGAGCGGCAGATAAATCGTTTCTTTTTCAGTGAATTCTTGATGCCGATAATGATTTTTCACTTCTTTCATACACCTGAAAATTCACTTTCCACACGCAAACGATGATCCGAAATTTAGAACCAAAACAACAGTTAGGCACATCCATAAATTACGTAGAATCTGAGGAGTAATGGAGAGGGGGTTTCAACATTTGTAACGGACCATGCATAAGGTATAGAAAAAACGCCACGAAGGGGGAGGGGAAGGTCTAAAACTGGTAAGAAAATTGCATCGTCATTTATGGATGACCCTTATGATTTGACAGAAGGTATAGAGTAAATAAAAAAAAATCTGCCGGACTGGTTGAAACCAATGAAATGCTATTGACGAGCAGCGCTGCCATTTATACAGATTTATCTGTATTATACAGATTTTTTAATCTTAATACAGACCCGATACAGAATACAGATTTATCACAGATTTTTAAATTACAATACAGATTTATACAGATTTTTATAAAATGATGCATATGGAGCTGGTAGTAAACGATTTGAGATTGTATGGGGATTTACAGTATTAATTGGATATGCATGTATGTTAAATACAAGAAAAGTGCCCGAGCACATTAAAATGGTACAAATACAAGTACTCGTAAACATTTTACTTGCATTGAAAATGTATTTCGTAAGAAATTGCGGATTTTCTGATATTCTCCATACTGCAAAAATGATTTTACCAGCACTGTCGGGGCGACATCTCTCGACTTTTCGGTGTAACTACCACACAAATGATGTAATTAATTGTATTCATCTATATTAAAAATATCAAATAGTAATGAACTCGTGCACTTTTTTGCATTTAAAACTGCTTATCAGGAAGATAATGAATAGAAACTAAAATCTCCATACATTTTCATACGGCTTCATATCACTCTTATAAATAAGTACCGACGATATAACAAATGGCGTAATTATATCCCGTATGGTTAGTACGATAGCCCGAATAGGTGGTTAAGCACTTTTTATGGTTATTTTGTACGCACTGTATTTGTAAAACAACAAAACATGATTAATTAAGAAAAAAATCGTCAATACAGAAAATACAGATTTTTTAATAGAGTGGATACAGATTTTTTATAAAACCACCTGGCAGCTCTGTTGACGAGTGCACTGGTGAATTCGAGTTCATCTACTGAAAAAAAATGACAGGAGAGCGGGGCCTTGTTTACTAAAAATGAACTTTTGCTTTGTCGGCTGGATTGAAAGTTTTCTGATTCTGGTTTTAGTTCTGATCCCGTGTTGCGTATCTGTATCGTAGGCAATATCCGGCAATATCAACTGCTCCCGCGTTCCGTGCTTTCCGTGTCTGATTGGAGTACATTCTTCGTTTCATTCGTGTCCGTTTCAAGTGCTCTGTGTGCTCCGTTCTAGTTAGAAGGCTGCATTACGTACTGCGTGTCCGTTTTATCTGCTCTGCGTGATAAGTGATTTCGAGTTCTGAGGCCAATTAACTGCTCCCCGTACCGTAGGGTAACGGATAACATTGTTAAGGTATGGAAGAGTATTTATTGTATTTCATTAGGTCAAAGATTGTTTTTGATTTTTAGATGCTTTCGGTTAGCGATCTTTGTCCTACCGGAGGAAAACTTTCAGCTTACGCTCAAAAGTTGCGACGAGAGCATCCGGTTGTGTTTAGAAGATACATAGAGAAAATTCGTTTGATAAATTATCATGATCCGTATGCAGAACATCACCTTACCGCATCAAATTTGCCAATAAATATTACCACTGGTCACGTGGTAGATTATTTATTGAACTATCGTTCTCCGTATACTGGACAGCCAATTAGAAACAGTCGTAGCCTCGAAGGCTACAAAAAGTTTGAAGGCGGCTTAGTCCATTCCGTTGTCGGGAAATATTTGAATGGGCACTTCGTTGTCGTTGGGAAGGTAAGTTGTATGTTTTTTTTTTTTTGTAAATTACTAGTTATGACTGTAAGGACATTCATCATTTTAGGTGGTACATTCCATGCGATTAAGAGAAGCTATGCTTAAAGCATGGATAATCATTGATCAACGAGGGACCGTTGTATTCGCACATTGCGATTGTGTCGCCGGTTGTAGTGAAACCTGTTCGCACGTGAGTGCAATTCTGTACTCTCTGGCAAACCTCCATGCACAGTCAACAAACAGAAGGGTAATATCCTACGATAGCTAATCTTATTTTATAGTGTGACGTTTTTTACATGTTATTGAATAATCATTTCAGATCACCGTAACGGATGTCCCCGCATATTGGCGTCAACCTCCCAAACACATTAGAGACGATTTATATAAACAAGTTATAGATGTTAGCTATGGGAAGGTGACCAAGCGGTTATACGATACGCCAGTGGCAAGATCGAGACAAGATTTTATAAATCTTATCAAACAGATCAAATCTGATGGTGTTTATGCGGCTGTAATGCGTGCTGAATGCGACGGCATCAACTTCACCTGTGATGAGTGCGAAGCTGGAATGGTACCAGACTGTATAATTTGTAACAAAAGCGTATTACTACAGGGGAACTTCAATATTGAGAACGAAACGAAATCTCTGGAAGTGCTACGCGAAATAGGTAAAACCATCAATCTTCATTTAACGGATAAAGACATCGCATGGGTGGAAGCTTTCACACGCCGGCA